GGGATTGTTCAGTTACAGATTTTAAATTTAGGATTTATATTTTTTACTTTTAAGTTTTAAAATCAAGTGGTCGATTTTTAAGAGCCATTATGTCCACAATGTCCTGCAGCCAGGTGCCCTTCTCTTTACACTCCGGTTTATTTATAAGTATTGATTGTCTTTTGTGCAAGGTAGTCAGCCAGGCCCACAGTCAGCAGCACAGGTCGACGCCACGGCTGCACATCAAGGAGGACACTTCCTGCTTAACTTTGAAATGCTACTGTCTGAGATTTCATGTTTGAAATAGATTAGAAAAACAACTGGCCATGTACTTGTTGCATGTCATCACCCTGTTTACAGTCAAGAGATGGTAATTCAGGTGAGAATTGGAGAAAATGTGGTGGAACAGATGCTGATTTTTGTGCATTATTCCTAAATGAAGAGCCCTGACAATTGAAAGATTCAAAGCGTTTGTGTCTCCTAGGTACTCAGAGCAGGTGGAGTGTGTCGTTTTCCAGAAGAGTGATCTGTGTGTGGGCAGGAACTACAGTCACTCTGCCCTGCCGTTATGACTACCCCTCAGGTTGATCATTTGTTCATTTTGCATTTCTTTAGATGGACGGTTCAAATGTTTGTGAAAACAAGGAAATGTAATTTGTTAGAGTTTTATCTAACAGAGTACAAGAAATCTGAAAAGTTTAAAAAAAATTTCCCACTTCACACTAATAGTACGATGTGTTGGTGTATCTCATAAAGTATCAGTAAAATACGTTGTTGTTTATGGCTTTAGGATATGTTTAAGTGAACAACAACATTGTGTAAAACTCCCCAGGTCACACTGTGAGGCGCGTTATGTGGTTCCGTGTCTCTGTTGAGGGCCGCAGGGAGTTTGCTCACCACACCGACCCCAACCAGATCAGCCCATCTTACCGCGGGCGCACACGGTGAGAACTGCAAGTGCTGTGATTGTTACAGTAAAATTATGTTACTGAGTTGCTGCCTGGATTCTAGCTACACCGGGGGAAGCTATTCCAGCTGCTCGGTTCAGATTCGGGCTGTGAAGCTGGGCGATGCGGGCCAGTATCACTTCAGGTTTGAGACAGACCAGCCGCTGGGGAGATGGACCTCACCTGACACCATTACTCTGGATGTTACAGGTAGGTGAGCAGAAACTACAGCTGCTGAGACATCTCAGAAAAAGTCTCAGGATTTAATGACGTGTCTTTGTCTCTGTGTTTCACAGACCTCCAGGTTCAGGTGCATCCAGCGAGGCCAGGCAACATGTTTGGATTTGGAGAAACAGTCTTTGTAAGTTGCCAGGCCAGAGGATGTGCTGCCCCAGGGAGAAGCCTGGCACTCTACAGGTAAGTCTGCATAATGCCCATTTTATTAATATGAGCAGCCATCTACTGTGACCAGATGGGGGTCGACAGGACACGGAGGAGACGCAAAACACATTACTGAATAGTCACGGGTCAGAATTACTTTCTAAAAGTAGAGTAAGAAGGCAAATTTAGGTCTTTAGGTCAATCAATGGTTTTTATCCAGGAAAGAAGATGGAGCAAAAGCAATGAAACAGAAGTACTCTCTGTGAGAAAAACAAAGAGAATACACACACAGTTAATGGCAGCAATAGCTCTGTCAGTGACTGCGTACAGGAAAGAGGCACAACTAAACCCTGGTTAGGTGGATCTTTGGATGCAAAAATAAGAGAGAAAAAGATGAGAGATGAGAGAAACGACACTTATTTGACATAGCTAAAAACTGGCACCTTTGAGCTAGTCCAGGCCATCCACTACAGCTGTGCTATCTGTCCAACTAGCCCAATGCTAACTGGCTAGCTAGCTGGCTAACTAGCCCAAAGTTGGCATTGTGTTGGGTTTCCTTTCCACCCCCTATCCCTATCTCTTACCAGCTAATGGAAAGAAGTCATAGTTTACCATCAGTCCCATTATCATGTGATATTTTAGGAACGGATTGAACCTCGGCTCGAATGAGAAAAAGATGATTAACCGCTTTGACCAGCAGCACGCAGGGGCATACACCTGCCGCCCAATCCCACCGCAGAACGTCCAGTCACCACCAGTCTCTCTGACAATGGGGCGTAAGTAATGTCAGCCAAGAAAAACAGAAACTTTTATGATTTTTACACCGTGGACATGCATCTGGAAGTAATGGACAGGGGATAATATTTATTTTGCTCTCATTCATAGACGAGGACAAATGTCTGACAATTTGAAGAAAGCATGAAGCCGAGATTTTAGGGAATGATAATCAGACACTTTATCAGACGCTGTAATATTTGAACATGCGATACCAAAGCTGTTTATATTTCGTCCTAAATCATGCTTTCTCCATTGTTTCTCACTGTAGACAGTCCTCGCTCCACTTCCATTGCGGTGTTTCCTGCGGGAGAGTTGTCAGAGGGGGGTTCAGTCACTCTGACCTGCAGCAGCGATGCAGCCCCACCTGTTGAGAGCTTCGCATGGTTTAAAGGTACACAGCAGGGACTACCTGCTGAATGTTGGTCGGTTGTGAGCTTTGAAGATTGTTTTATAATGGCATGCTGTCCTGCTGACTCAGCAAGATGTCCAGATCGATATGATGCCCTTCTAATCTAGTGGTCAGTCGCTGAAAGAAATACGCCGCTGTGTCACATCACATTTATCACCACAAGGAAACTTATTAAGAATAGAAAGAAAGAAAGCGCTTCAGTTGCATGTGTTTTGTATCGATAAATAGGAGTGACAACAAATGTACCACCAATAATCTCCAAGTAAAACAGTTACTTCCTAGCATTTTTTTAACTTTAAATGTTTTCTTCAGTCATTCTTTTAATAATTTACTTTTCACTTAACAGTGAGTAAATAGGTAAACAAACAATGTTCCAGTTTGTTTACCTGCGAAGTGAAAGGGATGGGTGCGCTTGATTCTTTGTAAGTCACACACCCATGGTGGTGGAGATAGTAAAACCTTTTAAAACTGGTTTTAAATGATAAGCTGTCACTTTTTATGTAGATACACATTTTTCTCCTTTCTTCGCAGACAACGAGAGCGGCAGCATTCCAGACAGCTTCCGTCCTCAGCTCCACCTGTCCTACCTGAAGTACACAGACAGAGGAGAGTACTACTGCGTCGCTCGCAACTCACTGGGAACAGACCGCTCCGGATCACTTCTTCTCAACGTCAGCTGTGCGTCTTTTAGCCGTATCGTGGTCCAGATGCATCGCAGGGATGCAGCAGGAATATTTATGATAATTAAGTACTCCGCTAACCGGTTATTCAGCAGGACTGCAAAGATTAACATCAGGGTCTTTGTTGTCCAACTTTATGTTTTCTGTTCCTGTTCCTCCTGTGCAGACTCTCCCAAAAACACACACGTGTGGACGAGTCCTCAGAGAGACATCAGAGAGGGCTCGTCTGTAAACCTGAGCTGCAGCAGCCACGCCCAGCCTCCTCCCAGCAGGTAAAGCATCACCTTGAATCAGACATACAACTTTCTTTACTGTCCCCTTTTTTTTTTTTCTAATGCTGGTTTTGCTACTTCATCATGTCATGCATTTGTTGTGGCTATTTTAATAATAATAATGATAATAATAATAATAATAATAATAATAATAAGGCCCTGGTGTCTTCTTGACCAACCATTTTCCATTTCTGTTGATTTGATGATGTCAAAAATCTGTTGAAAGAACTGGGCCCAGTGGTCACCGTCATCATCTCTTCCCTGATTTCCTCTGCAGGTATGTTTGGTATCGAATCATAGGTGACCAGGTGGTGCCTAAAGGTCACAGTCAGAACCTGACCTTTCCTTCAGTGGGGGCTCAACACGCGGGTCAGTACTACTGCATAGCATCAAACCGACTGGGTTCCCAATCCTCTCTTGTCTCTTCACTAACAGTCCTATGTAAGTACAAGACGCATCCCTCCGTCTTTTTCTTACATAACCCCCTTTTTTTTTTTTTTTTTTGTTTTCAAACAAATTAACGTTGTCCTGCAAACATATTCATACCTGGTGAACTGCTTAAAATCAGACATGTGGAAGAAGGCTCCTCTGGTTCTCCGCGACATTTTGGGTCAGTAATTCATGGAGCGTCCAGCAGGAGCTCTACGCTGGTTGTCCATAAAGTTTCTCTGGGTCAACATGTGGAAGTCCTTACCCACTGAACTAAAACTGAACTCTGACTGGGATCAATTCAGATCAACCTGAAGAAGGAACTTGAGCTTTTTTATTAAAAAACCAAAAAAATCAGTCTTAACATGGCAGAGACAAACTAAATATTGATTTTTAGATATCTTCAAATGTATCATTTCCATTTTTAGTCCCAAGACTACGTGCTACTTTGTGTTAGCTTTACATAAAAAAAATACACAGCATTTTATGGTTGTAGCAAGACAAGACGTGACAAAGTCCGAGGGCTGTGATGGTAAAACTGCTGGTCTTTGCTTCGCTCTCTGGCTTGACTTGTCTTTGATTTTAAACAGTAACCAGACCAAAATGATTAGAACTGCATGTTGAACTTCAGCTTCTCTTTATGAAAAAATGATTTATGATAACATCAATCTTCTTTTCTTCCCTCCTCTGTGCAGACCCCCCTAAGAACACCTCGATTCTGGCTCGCCCTTCCAGCGTGGTGGACGCGGGCCGACCCCTGACCCTGACCTGCAGCAGTCAGGCCTACCCAGCTGTGGACAACTTCACCTGGCACAGACTCGCTCTGGATGGTGGCACTGTACACTGTTAGCTCTGATTTATTTATTTATTTTTTTTTACTTTTTTTCTTTTTTTTTCTTTGTGGTGAATGTTTGTATCACCGTTTGACTTAAATTAAAACCGTAAAGCTTACCGTTTCCCCTGTTCTTGATGAAGCAGCATGGATCACCAAGTCTGGGCCCGTCTTCACCTTCTCTGAGGTCGGTCCTGGTGAGAGCGGTCAGTATTACTGCGAGGCCAGGAACCGAATCGGAGCCCACAGCTCTCCGGTCCTGACAGTCAGAGTCAGAGGTACCAATCAGCTCTGATGGATCATCTTGAATGTTACCATTTTCCTTAAAATGTCATTTCTGCTCTTATGATCAGTCCTGTTTTATTTGTTTATTTCCTCTTTTTACTTTTTTCTAACTATTATGGGCAATCTTTTTGTTTTAAATTAACAATATAATCTATTAAAGTGCGGCCAGCTTCGCACTCAGCATTCAAGTGTTAACTTCTGTTAAGTGATTGGCAACACTAGGTTTTGCTGCAGTGAAACCCACCTGCTGCATATTTACAGCCATGTTTCTAATTATCTCAGACGCTGCAGAAGAAGACGAAGGGGGGGGAAAAAAACTCCCTCTGAGTATTTGTCAGTGTTTATACCACCGAAGGTTTTCAGATATGGTTTCTGTTTGTCTGCGGCGATGAGCGATGAAGCCTCCCTGTCACCGTCGCAGTGGTCCGTCCGGCCTCTGGCTTTCATTGTTTTTCTATGATTCACTGTGAGTCATGTAAACCGCTCTCACTATGAAGAGAGGAGGTGATGAGGTGCTGCGGAAAACTGCCACTCTAGTCTAGACAGCTGAAGAAATGGAGCTTTGGAAAGAAGAAGTGGAAATACAAGACTCGAGTCCAGACTGGCGTTTTCTGATGTGCAGATCTTTAGCTCCTCAAATCACTTTCCTTTTCTATTTTTATGACTTCTGTTCGGTTTTAGCCCGCTGAGCTTCCTGCTTTTGCGTTCGGCGACTTCGTCTTTCTGTCATGCCGGTGACGTTTGCGATGTCTCCGACTGCAGGTCGTTTGAAGGCGATCGCCTTGGCTTCGGCGGTGGGCGTGTCTGCTGGTCTCATCTCGCTGACGGTGGCCGTCATGATCAGGTGACTGGAAGTACCTTCGCCTCTGCAGCAGCTGTTTTTTTCTTCATGTTTATTCATCACTTTTCTTCATCAATCTTTGCCACTGACTGTGCCTCTCTCTGCGTTCACAGCAAGAACATGCACAGAGTAGACACGGAGTCCGTAGACGATATAAACAAGGTGCAGCTGTCTTTGTCGTTGTTTTTAATCAGTCTAAGAATAATTCAGCATTTTGTGTTTTACTGAAGCTGACAGTAGGAGAAAACACGGGTTTGAAGAATGATCCAGGCTACCGCAGTGAAGTCTGGAATGATTTTTCATGATTTGTGATCCTATTTATCTGGTTTATCCTCTGAGGTTTGTGTCTCTTCTGTTTGACCCCAGCGTCCAGCAGTGACACCCGACACACTGCGCCGTGAGCCGGCCGAACAAACCCTCCCCGTCAGAACAGGCAAGATGTCCGACATCCCGGTGAGCCGCGCTCGACGTCACCTGGGGGAAGGTTCACCGATGAAAGGGAAGAGGAATGAGATGTTTTTCATGTGCACACAGGAGGAGCCGGAGGATTTAAGCGACACCTCCCATCCCTCCATCGTTCCTCTGATGGACGCTCCGCCAATCAAAGAAGTTTCAGGCCGCAGCTCCGCCTCCAACTTCATCACTGTGCATTACTCCAGGATGTCCAGGTAGACACTAACCAAAGCATCCAATGTTTTGTTCTTAATGTTTCTTAATGCTCCTATATTTGTTTGACAAGTTACCTGTAGGTTAGTTTTGTACTAAGACAAATGTACAAGAAACTCGACCAAAAATACTTAGTAAAGTTTTGTGTTTTTGCAGTGTAAAGAAATGTTTGGGGGGTACTGCTAACTGTGACACCAGCGATCCAGTTTGTGAAAATGTTTCTTCCCCCACTAAATGAGCCTCAACACGTTAAAGCTTGGAGTTTACCAAATGTGAGAACATGGCACTGCGATGTGAAAGAGTTTCACGTTCAGGCATTCTGCACTTCCTGATCAATCGCTGTAGAGGGTTTTTCTTAACATCGTCTTTTTGTCTGGAAGATCAGGCTTTTGTGAATTTACCGATTTGGTGGACCTCATCTGTTTCCCGCAGCCCGGATCAGGTCCAGGTGCACAACATGAGAGGAGAGAGGAAACCGAGGGATTCTTCCAAAGTTGTTTACACTTTACTGCCCCAGCCTCGGCACTGAGCAGGAGGAAACGCCTCGTTAGGTACGACTCCTCACAGCACACACTGCAGAGGACAAACCCTCTTCTCTGAGGTTTTGAGCTTTGAGATGGTTCCATTGACATTTCACAAATACAGCAGAAATGGTAACATGTAACAGTGGAACGAGTTTCCTGAACGATTTAAAGTGGCAGAGTTGACCAATGAAAAGAGAAATCAGATTCCAATCTCTTATATTCCTCTGTTAGGTTGAAATCTATTTACTTTTGCCTCTTTTTAGTCGTACTAAAATAAGGATAAAACTGCGTTCCCAACAGTGTGTTGGTTCGCCTTTAGTTTTAGTCTGAATCACTGAGGCCTGGGTTTCACCAGACCCCTGAAGAAACAAGATGTTAGCAGCAAGCGCTTTCAATCCAATACGATTTGAAAGGGAGCGTCCATACGTATGTTGAATGTGCAGCACATCCTGCAGATGCTTGATTGGAGACCAAGTCAACACCTCACATCAGCCACTTCTTACTGGTTCTTCAAAAGAAGATCTGTTCCAGCAGCGCTAGAAATGTTAAACGCTGCTGATATTAAAAGAAAGCTGGTGCTTAAGAACTGGTTTAGAAATGCTGCGTATGGATTTAGTGAATCCATACACTAAATAAACACAGCTCTATGTGGTTGGTGTTAGTGCTAATCGGATTATCTAATAATGCCGAAACTGTTTTTACTCTGTTGTCTTGATCCAGAATAAAGAAACTCCAGGGATTTAAACATGGCGCCTTCATAGTTCTGATTGGTTGTTGGTCCCCACACTCTCAAATCATTACACTAAGGACAAAATGTCCACCTTCTGCCCTGGGTACCATGAGGAAGAAATATTCACTTTACCCGCCATGTTATGTGTGATCAGCGTTCATCCTCCTGTTATTCTGTTGCTCTGATGTCTTTGTCCCACAGAACACCTGGACCGGATTGGTGTGGACCGGACTCTTTGCTCCCATCACCTGGTGGCGCAGAGCGCTTCCTGTATCACTGAATCGTGTGATACCATTCCAGTTCAGGCAGCTGAGGACCTCTCTGTGAACCCGGCTCCTGAACTCTGCTGCATGTCTTCTCCTCTTTTCTTTCAATGCATCCCGGAGTGGCATGCTGTCCAGTGAGGTGAAAATGCTTTAAAGTTCTTAAAGGGTATATAAAAAAAGCACCTCATGCTGCCTGGTTTGCACTTCTGTTTTCTTTCTCCAGTGACATTTTGGCACAGAATGTATATTTGCTGTTATCTTTTGCGTTCTCTGACCATTTAGACTGCTGAATGTTTGTATTCTAACATAATTGTCTGTGATAAGACTAATAGTGTGAAATTAGGAATATTAGTATGTGAGTCCTTAGAGAACATTTTGACTTTGCAGTGATTGGGATCTGATTACTTACTCTCTGCGTCTTTGTTGAATGCAGATTATTTTAACTAACTGTAACCTAAACGGTGAAAACAAGGATAGTGAAGAAATATTAAACTCAAGTGACTTCTCACTTTGTTTTTTCTAGTTTACTACTGATTGTGAATTATAATTTGGCCCTAAATAAACATTATGTGCGTATCGACTGAATTACTAATTACAACTGTCAATTTGACTTTTTTCACAACACATTTGAGAAACTCCTGTGACTCAAGAATTTGTTGCCACGTGGACGTTTTGTTCTTTCTTACAACACAGATATGATGTTACAAAATGTGAGGACATTAGGCATGGCAGCTACATTGCTGACGTTTTGCAATGATGTTCTTTGGTTGGTCAAAAATGGAAATGAAAAGCAATCACATGCTTACTCAGCTTCTGTTTCCTCACATTTTGTCTCAACCTGATCGGTTTCCTCAAATTTCATATGGCTCGACATCAAAAGAAATGTTAATTCCTAAAGTAGAAAAAAAAAATACATTTTAATCTTTACATTTCCTTTATAATGCAGAGATTCAGCTGCAATGTTTAGGACTGAAAAGGAAAAGAAAAACACTGTATGCATTACTATATGAATATGCAATTATGTTTTTTTATTATTATTATACCAGGATTATCTGAACAGATTTAAATGAGAGCGCGGGTTATATATATATATATATATATATATATATATATATATATATATATATATATATATGACAAATAGTATACATCAGACTGTCAATTACATATTTTGAATAATGCCTTATAATTCTACATGTGATCAGATTTAATAAATGAAGATCATATGAAGGTTAAAACTGAATAAGCCATTGAGTTTAAGAACATTAAATAAACTTATATACAGTAAAAATGAGAAGAAAAGAAATCAGCCGCGTTTAGGAATCTAAATGGATTTCTAATAGCGGCTGTGTGGATCAGTGTCTCCCCCTAGTGGACACAGAATAGATAAAGCTGGCATTGGTCAGCCACCAGGTCAAAAGGACACGTGAGGTCGTGACTTTATTAAATCACAATCTTTACTTTTTTTAACAGTTCACTGGAGATTTTTATTGACCTGTCAGAATGAGAGATGCGCTTCCTCCTTGATCAATTCTCTGTAAAACTTGAAAAATATTTAAAGTACAAAAAAAGATGAACATACAAATCATACCAAACAGCCCACGTTGTTCAAATTTTCCACAGAAAAACTGACTTTGTGATCTTTTTGGTAGCGGCTCTTTCTCCGTGTTAAGGAATTTGAAGTCTAGTAGTAAAATCCTGCTGAAGCACACATCCCGCTCTGCAGACGGTGCAGCGGGCAGCTGTGGCCTGTCAGCATATGAGTAGCTGTAACCCTTTTAAAAACATGTCCAGTAGCCACATGTCTTTTACGTATGTTACATAAACATCTCCGCAGAGACATTTCCTAAAAGAAGAAAAACAGTGAAAACCAGTAAACCGTGCATGTCTTACTTTGCATAACCGCAGCGTTGCGCTGCTGGATACTGAACATTCTGTACTCTGTCTCAATGCTGTGGTTCAACAAATAAGCTGAATCAGTTTTCTTCTTCCACATCTTAACTCTCCGTGTCTTTTGCCAGCCTATTTTATCGTGAGAAGGTGTTTAGCTGAAAGGTAATTGTAACTCAAAAGTGTCCCAATATGACAAAAAGGAAGCAGGGGAAGGAAGACGTTCCACTTCTGCTTTCCACTGACCAAAAAAAGAAAAAAAAAACGCCCCAGAGATATACAAAATGAGCTCTTCCTCCTGTCCTCATACTGTACTCTACAATTTCATGATTTACTGGCTGATTTAAACTATGGGAAGGTGGATCATCATTATTCTGGGATTAATTCCAGGTAAGATTATATTTTCTGGATTGTTTTTGCCAATGAGTTGACATTAACTGTATCTTATTTGATTTTGACATTTTATTATTTTTTTATACTGAAGGTGTCTGGAGTGGAACATGGGGGGTGACCTATGAAAACCAGTGCGCTTTAAGAGGGACGTCAGTAGATTTGAAGTGCAAGTACGGCTATACTTTAGGAAATTTCGTCACCTGGGTCGGCTGGTTTAAAGCCCAACAGGTCTCTAACAAATTGACTCAGGTTCCCCTCTCACAGCTCCCTTCGCCGCCAAACCATTTTAAATACATTGGTGATTACCGCGGCAACTGCAACCTGAGGATCAATAATGTCCAGCCTTCGGATCAAGGAGCGTATTATTTCAATTTTGCCGCAACACTTGGGAGCTGGACAAGTGACACGTACGCTTTCTTGTCTGTGAGAGGTAATAACACAACAACGTACGAACACATTTCCAAGACTTTGAAGTGACTCGTGCGTTTCTCTCTATCTGCGGCGACAGAGCTGACCACAGTGGTGGAGCCGAGCGTTGCCAGGGAGGGGGACGCTGTCAGGCTGACCTGCGAGTCGGGCTGTCCTGAAACTAGAAAGATCAACTGGTTCAAAGATGGGCGACTTGTTCAGAGGTCACAGTTCCAGGCCAGCAGAGAGGATGCTGGGAGCTATTTCTGCGCCATCCAGGGAGAGGAGACGGTCCGGTCGGCCTCTGTTGCTCTGAGTGTTCACTGTGAGTATATGAAGGATGTTAAATATTAAATATTGTCAACTTGAAAGCACGTCTCGCACACCCTACTCTGCAGTAGAGTGTATGTCCCAATTATTCCTGGAAAAAAGTGTTACTGTACTTCCCCTTTACTTCCTGAGTCACGACTGGCTTCTTGTACAAACACAACTGACTCATTGATGGACATCTTCTTGCTTGCTTACAGACAGAATAGTACTTTAAATTTGCCTGATATTTTAATAAGGTAATTGGAGAGAACACACAACCAACATGTACCAAATATAACAAACAGCTCTATTTATAACCAGACCTCAACACCAAGAATTGTTCTGTGTTCATTTTTTAATGAACAATGAGTTTATTGCTTAATATTTTGTATTTTAAAGAATTCTTAGAACAATATTTTGTTGACTACAGTTATTAGAGCTAAAATAATTATTGAAAATGAAACCTTAAAAGCAGTTAGTTTTTGTTTTTTTTTCCTAAATCTTCCCTTGAAAAATCTAACTGAAAAATAAGGCTTTAAATTAGATCACATTTATTCTTGGCATTCCTTGTAAAGAGGAACAAAAAGACACTTTTAACATCACTAGACACACCCCTAAGAATTCTGGTGAAATTTATTTTACTGAAGAATTTCAATGTGTATTTAACCTTTACAAACTTGATAGAGGTCTACAGGAACTTTAAATTAAAAATATGACTTCCTGCTAACCCATCTCTCTAAGCTGCTTTTCAAAATGAGACCATTCGGAGAAACTACAGTTCACTAAAATACCAGCCACTCGTTTAATCTTACGAATCTTATGTAATCAAAGAAAACCTTTCATCACCACCGTCTGAAGCCTTTTGCACTTGTGAGACTAAACTTCCTGCTCTTCTGTGAACCAGATGCTCCTACGGACGTAACGCTGTCAGTGAGTCCATCTAGAGACGTCGTCAGAGGAAGCATGGTTACCTTGACCTGCAGCGGTAGGGCCAACCCTCCGGTGGCTCGGAGCGGATATCGTCTCTACAAGGACGCAACGTATGTGAGCTCGGGGCAGAGCCATGTCATCTCGGACGTCCAGCCCAGACACAGGGGGCGGTACCACTGCCAAGCCTGGAACAACATCAGCAGGAGCGGCAGCAACCTGATCAACTCATTGGCGGTATACCTGGACGTCTGGTGTGAGTAGACCGACAACTGGAGTGTTTACAGAGACAGAGTGTTACTGATGAGGATTATTTGGTCTGAATTTGTGATTTTGCTCACAATCATCTCACTCACCACTGGCGTTCAGAACGCTGCGATATCCATTTCTCTTGACATTGACAGATGTTTTTCCTCCCAATAAAAGTTTCAGCAGGACGTACGGCTAACGTCTTCAATAAGCTAACCATCTGACTCTTACAGAGCACATTTTCATGCAGAGGATTTTCCGAAGTGAAACATTAGCAAGTTTCCTCTCATTGGTATTCAGCCAGAACATGTGGTTTCAGTTCATCATGTCCAGGCAAAACTTACAGAAAAAGTCCTGCTTTATAAGCTTTTCTTTGAGACAGAGGTAGCAGAGCAGGTGGTATGAAACAGAAGAACTGCTGCAGTCAAAACAGTCTCTCTTTCAATGTGAATAGTATTTTAAAGGCACTCAGATTGTGTACAGACTAAGATCCAGCCTTGTACGAAAATCTATAAAACATATAAGAAGAGCATTTTGCTAATATTATTTTTTAATGACTCTTTTTCTCTCCAGATCAGCCGATGAATGTTTCAGTTTCAGTGAGTCCAGAGCATATTGTTGAGGGCAGCGGCGTCAATCTGACCTGTATTAGCAATGCTAACCCTGCAGCAGACAACTACACCTGGTACAAAAGAACAGAACCGACCGGCTCCCACTCCCTGGTCCATGTGGGCTCAGGACAGGTGCTGTCCCTTCCCTCCATGGAGGCGTCCCACAATGGCCTCTATGTCTGCTACGTGAGGAACAGCCTCGGAGAGGGCAACTCAACCGAGGTGGTCCTGGCCATGGCAGCAGGGCAGCATGGTTTGTGGCATTCCTCACTCACTGCTGCTAACCATTAACTTTATTAAAACCTAAAATGACTTTGTTTGCTCCGCAGGCAGCCAGTCCCTTCCCATCTTAGCTGGAGTCGGACTACTTCTTATTGCGGCGTTAGTTGCCGTGCTGCTTTTGTTCTGGTGAGTCATCAAACAATTAGGAGTTTGGGCGACTAATTTGAGTCATGCGGTTGTTACTGTTGGCCAACTTACAGCTTGTATGACTTCATTGTCTGGAAATCTCCTTTTCTGCTTGGGACATTGCCTTTCAACAAATTTCAACACACATAACTTACGTAGCATGCATCATTTGAATTTTTATTTTTGACAACCAGTTTGCAGCCACAGCAGGCAAAAAGCGACACAGAGGTCACTCAAAGTGCCTTGCAAAAGTATTGATACATCTTGAACTTCTTGATTTGTGGTGATGTAAAAACCACAGCCAAGCGTAAGTTGTTCTAAAAATCAGGAAGGGCCAACATTTCAGACTCTGGATGTGCAAAGCTGTTAGACACATTTCCTGTATCTGGAAAAACACAAATCAGAACTTTAAAAAAAAAAAAAAATGTCTGTTTCACTCTCTATGAAAACATAACCTGATAATTCAGATGAATGATAAAAAAAAATATTTAAAAAAAACTGTATTTCTTGTACATTTTCCACAGATCTCCTACAAACAGTAAAATAATTACTTGTATGTAATCTGAGTGTCGACTAGTAGTTGATGTATTTGCCAATATTGCAATATCGGTTAAAAAGATGGCACAAGATAAAGCAAAAGTAAGGAACACGCTGTTCTGTAAGGTTAAAAATTAACGTCCTGTTAACTTCCTTTGTTGTTTTTCCAGGAGGAAACAGAGGTCTCAGGTGGATAAAAAAGTGAGTGCATCTGCAATAAGCTGTGAAATAACATCCTAGTGAGCTGTGGCTTGCTGTTTTTGCTCAAATAAAATTTTATGTGGCATTTTGGGGAAAAATTGAATTAGAATTTTAAAAAGGAAAAACAAAGACTTTTCCTCTGGTTTATCCATCAGACTCATTTAGTCTCCAGACTCCATGGAGGAACATCAAACCCTGAAGAACCGACAGAAACAGTTTATTCCAACATTCACGTGCCTCCATCTTCTCCTCCACCCGTCTTTGACCCCTACAGCTCTCCAGCTTCACGCGGGAAAAATGTAAATATGTTTGCATGAGTATACAAATTAATATCTCTAATAGTAGTCTAACTGAGACCATTTCATTCTTTTATCTTTAGACTCCTAAATCTTCTGAGGCTGAGATTATCTACACCACAGTGACAGTCAAACCCAGAGACAGGAGCGCAGCACAACACAAAAACTCCTGGTAGGTTTATATGTGCAACAGCATGTTTCCATCATTAAACAAATAGTTCACAATACAATACATCCCTGGAGAAACTCTTATCTGCACTGCAACAGTAGCAACATCAGCAGGTCTTAATCAGTGGATTGATTGAGTGTCATAAAGTTTATACTAATTTACAGTACGATCTTCTCCTCAGGTCTGAAGGCAGAGAAGATGGCGGCTCTGTGATCTACGCCTCCGTCGTCAAATCCAGCAGATGATTCATTTCCTGACAACATCTTTGTTTTAAAATACACAGTCAACACGTTTCAGGAGAAAGAGACATTAAAAGCTAAAGAATTCAGAATTTTTGTGAAATATAGTTTTTATTTATTTCTTTTAATATTAAATTTTGCGATTACAAAAACAGTTGCTTGTATTAAAACTATATTGTGATTTAAATGTTTTATGTCATTTTTGGACAGCATGAACCACATCATGTCTGTGTTCTGCACAACTGTAAATATTATATTCAACGCAGCAATGTGTTTGTAAAATTTGAATTAAAGAAACATTGAAGAATTGTCAGTGAATGAAAAGGAAACTAACTTCTGCCTTCATCAGTCTCAGAAAACGACCAGTTTATTATTTTTGATCAAAAACCATTTATATTTGCAACCTGCTCTCAGCAAACACACTGATAATTCCATTGTTTTTTTTCATATTAGGTTATGTCATTTTTATTTCTGAAAAGTATAAAACATATCAATGCATTATTTGGTAAATGTAACACAAAGAGGAACAATATTATCTTGCTAAAAATATTTTTTTGTGTTCATGGTTTTGTGGTTCAAGTTTAATATAACAGTTCTGGGGATATCAGTACACATACAAACAAACACATTCCAGTATATTACATTCACAATTCTAAAAAAATAATCAGTAGAAAAAGGTTTTATGAGATGGGAATTTAATTATTATTGCACACTTGAATGGCAAGATCTGTCCCTTTCCTTTCACCTTGCAATTATTCTCCATTATGTCAGTTACATAAGGCTCCATTAAAATACTTTGAAGTTTGTGTTTATAACATGACAAAAGCTGAGAAAGTTCAATAATTTGAACAGAGACAGGACCTGACTAATATTTACAACAACAAAACACTGATTGGGGCGATTGAAGTGGATATAAAGTAAAAGGCACATACTGAATGTTATGTGGAAACGTTATAAAATGTGTTATAAAGGATAAAAGAGAAGGTGCGTAGCACATAAGTGAATGTGAAAGCAAAGAAAACTAGCATTTCCACTGTGAGGCAACCTCAGAAAATAATGTATTTTTTTTAAATCTTTAGGTGTTTGGTTGTCTGCATTGATTTGTTAGCTTATATATAGTGTCAAAGTGGACGTAGGATTTCTACAATACACACTGTGATCGCTGTCTTCAGTGAAGCTCAATCACAGAAGACAGAGATTCATGTAAAGAGTTGATAAAATCTTTTTTTAATTTTTTTATCAAGTTTACTTCCAGAATAGCTCTGATTGATTGAGCTTCATGGAAGTTCATATGTACAGTTATCCACACTTCAAGTCCAAAGTCTACTTCAGATATGAGAGAAAAATAAACTCAACAGGTTTCTCAAAAGCAGGATTCAGCATAGTGACGTGTCTTTTGCTTCCATATCTTCATAACTTCTAAGAACAACTGGTTAAACTAGTTTCCTACCAGTACACCTTCAGTGAAGCATAAGGCTCAGGAACTGGAGAATGTTTCTGTCAGAAATATCTGAAGCCATGATAGGAGGGGAAGGTCACAGTTTTTCACTTCCCTGTCACGGGGTCACAGTATCAGCGACGCAAAATGTTCATCTTGTCATCCAAAACTAGAGAGATGGATGCAGGTGCCTCACGGTCGAGCCAGTTTGTGAACGCCTGGTGAGTTGTGATAGTTCTGCAGAAAGATAAGAGCAGAAAGGTTTGTCTACAAGCTGAATGAACGTTCTGGTGTGCTGGTATAAAAAAGCTCAAATGAATCAGTTGCTGGTTTCATTAAAATTAGGTTAAACAGATTAGTGTTTTTAGAAATAAGGAGAAACATGTAACACTACATAGTTATCAGTATTTCAGATCCAGGTTCTGGTGTTTTTGCGTCTAGAGGTGTACAGATAAGGCATGACTCTTACCCTCATGGCTGTGGATATCCATGGCAGAAACCTGGAAACTCTGGTGTAGACGCCTGGTTTTTTAGCCATGGCGCAGCCCGTTCCCCAACTCACCACTCCAAGCAGGCGATAGCGGCTGCTTTTAGACAGGCAGTCAGCAGCCACAAAAGGTCCTCCGCTGTCTCCCTAATGCCACAATTACAGCCAACACAGTAAAATGATCACACAAAATAATCCAAAGTTGTTGACACGTTTGAGTTTATAAACCCATTGATATCTGACCTGGCAGGCATCGATGCCTCCTTTCTCATAGCCAGCACAGAACATGCTGGTGGTGATCTGGTTGTCATAGTAATCAGGAGCGTTACACACAGCATCACTGATGATGGGGACGTTTGCTTCCTGGAGAACGTCTGCCAGATGACCTGTGGGAGAAAAAAAACAATGAATTTTTTTTTGGGCAAGAAAATGAAAAAAACTTAAATAAAATTGAATGTAACCCTTAACTAAAAGAAAAAAAAAAATCTCAAAGTATGTTAAGGGTTTAGACCCACCATAGTATCCAACATTTCCCCATCCTGTCACTGTTCCCATCTGTCCGTCCACCAGCCGTTGTCCATACGCTGGCAGACAGACGGGCTGGATGTACTCTGCAAACATGGACACGTAATGCATTGTTGCAGTTTAACTGAACTTTTATGCCATGTTTTATGTTCAATTCTTGTTTTTGCTACATCCTCTTAAAAGTTTTTCTTACTTTAACTCAGAGCATTTACTAAAATTAAAAAATAATTTCACAACAAGTCTATAATTAACAAAGCTAGACGTCATCCTACCCATAGTTTTGTACTGAAACTAAAAACCAAACAGAACAAACTGTTCTGTTTGGTTACCTTTCATAAACCTTTTTTATTTACATATTTTGGAATATTGCATTTCAGTTCATGCCAGTTAATCTATGACGCACCAATTCAAAACAAGGCTTACGAGAAATATCCAGACCATCACTGTCTTATGATTCAAATGTTGGTTTTGTAGTTATCCATGTTGAACACTAGGTGTCAGTCATGTCCCACTGAAATAATGGTTGGTTTTCTATCCTGTACTGCAGCAGTGCACACTGTACTCTTAATGTAACCAAACTAATTAGTCAGAAAAGTGGTTGTTTTGACAATCTTTGCAGTGTTGACAGGTTAAAGAAGGTGTTAATCATTACAGACATCAACATGTCAAAAGAATATAGCTTGTTTTTTATGACGTCTTACCGTTGAAAGTAAGCGGCTGTGCGAGGGCCAACACGGCGATGTCTCTGCTGTTGTCATCGATATTGGCGTCTACAAAGGGCAGGTAGCTACTGTGGTAAACGATGGTCTTCACCTCAACCACGTTGGCATTGACAGGTTTGTTGTAGATGGAGCCCAGCAGCACGCGCCATCGATTAATAAAACGATTCCGCCTTGGAAAAAAATGGAAAAGGTTTTTTTTAAGCTCTTCACAAACAGACACATTAACTAAACACATTTGAAATATCTACATGTAGATTTTGTAAGCTTATAAATAATTTGTGAAACTGTTTAACCAGTTCCTAAAACACAAGCAGTAATCGCCTCACTTACTCTGGGAAGCAGTGAGCTGCAGAAACGACCCAGCGATTAGAGATGATGGATCCTCCACACTGGTGAATGCCATCGTACTGTAAGCTGACCTGCCAGGGCCAGCTGCCCTGCCTGGCATCCACACCCCCAACTATACGGTCTGCCGCAAAACTACGCCTGCCACAGTCTGCGAAGGAGAGACATGGGAGGGATGAAAAGGAAAGAAAATAAATTCAACTTTTAGAGACAAAAAGTTTTCTCAGGAATGAAAATGGAGTCACAAAAAAACAAGATCAAAAAGAACCAGAATCCACAAAAACTTAGTATTCTGGTAGCGGTGTCGGGTGGCAGAGCTTGAATTGTGCCAGTGTGCCACACAGAATGAGTCCAGGCCTGATCTCTCACCTTGGCATAACAGTGTAAGAACTTCCTGGCTCTCACAGGCACTGAAACAAAGACAACCAGAGTTAATGACTGCAGGATACTCAAAAACCTCTAAGCATCTTTCATAAATGTTAAAAGAGACCAAATTCATAAAAACACACAAGAGAACCACAGAGAGGGCACTGTAGCAGACAGATGAGGAGATAAACCAGCGGTGTGAGTTACCATGGGTACAATGAGTCTTTGATTTTCTTTCCATAGCTGAGCTCTTCCTGTCTGACACAGAAGAACTCTCCAACGTCACCACTGGCTTCAGGCACTGATACGACCGAGTAGTTCACCACGCTGAAACAAACACTAATCATGAGTTATGTCTTCTAAATGACTGGATTACTCAAATTTAAAAATGAAACCATGGGAGCTAACTGTGCCCACCGTATGAGAACATGATGATTTCACCTTGGCCACTTGTCTATTTTCTGAATAAAAAAACTTTGACTAAATTTCATCTGTTCTAGAAATGTCTTATCGTTACAAATACAATTTTCAAAACAAACAGAATGATGTGCTGTTTTGGTTCTGGTCGTGTGTGCTTATTCTTATATCTATGCAATCTAAATGCCTTTATGCCAAATTTTACTCTGAGTAAATCTTGTTCTTTTCATTAAAACAAATTGCTTTGAGAGAAAACTTTTTTAAAGCAGGATTCTCAACCTTTATTGAAAAACATGCAGAGTGATCAATCAGTCGTAAGGCCAGCAAATTAAATTACCATTATATTCATGAAACCAGTGCATAAATAAAAAACATGACTTGATAACAACGATCTCACCTGACAAATCCAACTTCCTCACAACTGATGCTAGCAAGAAGCTCATTGGCTGACGAGGAACACACCTGGCGCCACCTCCTCTGAGCGGAGTCAAACACTCTGAGATGCTGGTCAGGTGAATTTACCTGAACTGGAGGGAAACAAATGACTTCAGAGATACTTCTTATTGTTCTGTGGTGTTTTCCAAATAAATTAATTAATAACTAGATGAAATAGCTTCACTGTGAACAATAATACAACATTTGATGGCATGTTTATGTTTGTGATTTAACATAACACTTATAAATTGATTAATTTTGATAAATGTTCAATCTGTCTTACCATCATACAGTCCTGTGTCCTCCTCCATAGTGCAGAATGTAACTACAGCAACACAATAAACAACAGCAGGTCAGTACGTTCTGATTGGAAATCAAGTGAAAGCATCAAGAAATATCAAAAGCAGCTGATTATTGTCGTCACATGCTTGGAGAAATGTGTGATATGATTATGTATGAAAGCAACGTAGTCTGACCTACGGCCCAGACTGCAGCGCCGATGGCTCCAATGGTCATGAGCGTTGCACAGACGCCCATCAACCTCCAGGGGGTCAACACACAGGTCAGAGAGATGCCTCTGTTCCCTACACACACACACACACACACATAATGGACATACAACTTAGTTCAGATTTGCCTTGGCAGAACAAAGATTAAATGTTGTATGCACTGAGTGGCATGGTTAGAGTAGTGGTCACAACAACTTTGACCAAATCCTGGAGAAAGAACTGGAATAAACGACTCCACCTTGGTCATGCATACGTTTTCTGCTCTTCTCAGACATTTTCTGGAACCATCTCTGAAAAAGAGTCTCTTCATTTTTTTTTTTTATCTAAAAATCTTTTATAAAATTGTCATTATGGTCAAACAATTTAGTTGTAGTTTCCGCAAACCACTGGAAGTGTCTCTAAAAATTACAGTCTCTGTCCCTGAAAGCATTTCCAATAAATAACCTTATTGTTTGTGTTTCATTAGAAGCCATGTTTTATTCCTCTACAAGTGACCTTCTAGCCCATGTAGATACAGAACTTGTTTTGATTATTAAAATGACACCAATCAGCTTCAACCAGCATCTTTTGCTTTTGTTCTGGAATCACACATTTTGCGTCCAAACACTCTCAACCAGAACCCGACTCCTTCCTGAATATGAGGGCTCAACTGTTCATATGTCTGATATATTTAGACATCTAGAAATTATACCAAAGGATGAATTATACTAGTGCAGTTTCACATCCTGACATAGTGTCAGATTCATTACAGTTTCTTTATGATGTCTCTAAAGGAATCGCTGTGTTTGTGTGTGGATGTGTTTGAGGCAACACTTCAATTAAAGGAGAATTTATTTATTCAAAGTCATGACATTGTTCATTAGGATTTCTCTAATCTAATTATTCAGGCATTAGCAAAAATAATAATAAGGTTTGCAATCTTAGCATACTTTTTATGTCAATAAATGTTAATTGCCATATTGGTGGCTAATCTTTAGCTGTAATGTTGAATAATACACTTTCAGTGAAGTTGTGCACATACTTTATTCTCCTGTTGAAGCAAGTTTAGTCTGAATAGTTTTATTTACTCTATCAAAGTTAAAGTACATTTATTCTGAAACACT